AGGTAACTCTGGTTCTTCCATTCCTGTGGCGGTCCTCATGGGAGCCAGTTTCATCATAGCGCCTGATGGTTTTTGCGACTGCACTTGAAGAAACGTTCAAATTTCTTGAAATGTTCTGTATTGACTGACCATGTCTTAAAGTAACGATGGACTGTTGTTTCTCTTTCCTTATTTGAGCTGTTCTTACCATAATAATGAACTTGGTCTTTTACCAAATAGGGCTATCTTCTGTATACCTAAAATATATTTTTATTTTTATAGTTTTAAATGTTTTTTGGTTACTACATGATTCCATATGTGTTATTTCATAGTTGTCATGTCTTCACTATTATTATTTTACAATGTGGGAAAAAAATAACAATTCAAGAAATCCTTCAATGAGTAGGTGTGTCCAAACTTTTGACTGGTACTGTATGTATGTATGCATGTATGTATGTATGTACAGTGAGGGAAAAAAGTATTTGATCCCCTGCTGATTTTGTATGTTTGCCCACTGACAAAGAAATGATCAGTCTATAATTTTAATGGTAGGTTTATTTGAACAGTGAGAGCCAGAAAATCAAAACAAAAATCCAGAAAAACGCATGATGTTACAAATTGATTTGCATTTTAATGAGGGAAATAAGTATTTGACCCCCTCTCAATCAGAAAGATTTCTGCCTCCCAGGTGTCTTTTATACAGGTAACGAGCTGAGATTAGGAGCACACTCTTAAAGGGAGTGCTCCTAATATCAGCTTGTTACCTGTATAAAAGACACCTGTCCACAGAAGCAATCAATCAGATTTCAAACTCCCCACCATGGCCAAGACCAAAGAGCTCTCCAAGGATGTCAAGGACAATATTGTAGACCTACACAAGGCTGGAATGGGCTACAAGACCATCGCCAAGCAGCTTGGTGAGAAGCTGACAACAGTTGGTGCGATTATTCGCAAATGGAAGAAACACAAAAGAACTGTCAATCTCCCTCGGCCTGGGGCTCCATGCAAGATCTCACCTCGTGGAGTTGCAATGATCATGTGAACGGTGAGGAATCAGCCCAGAACTACACGGGAGGATCTTGTCAATGATCTCAAGGCAGCTGGGACCATAGTCACCAAGAAAACAATTGGTAACACACTACGCCGTGAAGGACTGAAATCCTGCAGCGCCCACAAGGTCCCCCTGCTCAAGAAAGCACATATACAGGCCCGTCTGAAGTTTGCCAATGTTTGAAAATGTTAACTGTGTTAGAGCGTTCTCAACAAACACTATTTTTAGACCAGGTAGCCATTACTCTTTCCAAAGTCAAAACAGAACTTAATTTATTAGATAAGACAGAGAGCAGAATTTGCCATCCATCAAGTAAGACTCAACCATTATTTCCATGGTAATCGTCCCAGTCATTTACTGGCCAACAAGCTAAGCAGTAATGATCAATTGGCTGATAATAGCAACTATTGAATCTGAAACAGGGTAATTACTATCAGAACACAAATTAATCAAATATTCTCCCGCTTCTATAAAGAACTGTACACCTCTGATTGTAAATCCACACCAAGCCAGACTATGTCCATTCTAAAATAATGAAGAACTCCTCTCTCAACAGAAGAAGCCAGCTCACTGGGAGCCCAGATCTCTCTCAATGAACTCAAAAGGGCATTGGATAGCATGAATAAAGCCAAATCACCTGGGACGGTATTCATCCTGAGGTCTTTAAAATGTGGGAATCAATTAGGTCCACTGTTGCTCAAAATAATTAATACAGCCATTCACAAAGGTTCATTTGGGAGAGATGTGAATACAGCACTAATTTCACTTTTATAAAAAAAAAGGTAAGGATGCCACCCAGTGTTCTAACCATCGCTCCCTATTGTTGATAAACACAGATATTAAACTGTTTTCTAAAATGTTGTTGTCTCAAGACTTATTTACCCAAATTGGTCCACACTGACCAAAACGGGTTTGTTAAAAAGGCGTTTATCCTCGGATAATCACCATCGACTATTACATATCTTAGATGCTTCATCAGAAACAACAGCTCCTTAGAATGGTCATATCTCTTTTCTGTCTTGGAACACATGGGAATAGGCTCCAATTTCATTAATATCATTAAAATACTATATGTCAATCCTTCCAACCATAGTTATAAACAGGCAGTATCTGCTCTGCTGCATTCAGAATCAATATAAGAAGCAGACAAGGCGATCCAATTTCGCCTTTGCTATTCTTATCCATGGAACCCCTGGCCAAGGAAATTCGTCAAACCTACTTCTAGACAATGTATCTTAAAATCGCACCCTAACGCTTTGAAGAGCTATAAAATTAAACTAACCAATTCAGCCCTACTGCCTCTCAAGGCACCGATGGAGGACTCCATCTCTACTTATGGAATCCCAATAGTTTCCCATTTTAAATATTTGGGAGTAGATTGCTCCCCCTTCTGGCTATTAGGATAAAATGCATATTGCGGTACAAAGAGGGAAAGACGTAGACTATCTGTGCCAAACGTTCAACTGTATTTCCAGGCACTAGCATTTCACCACATCTTAAATTGGTTTAGACATGATTATTCTGCCCCCTGGCTGAGTATAGAGAGAAATATGGTGTCTGCTATTGCCCCGGAAGACATGGTCTTCACTGATACTGTAAATCCCTTAAACAATGTAAACTACGCTTTGGTCCCATTATTGCTCACACAATTTCTATTTGGCGCAAAATTGAAAAACAATGTAACTGGGAATCAAAATGGCATGCCCATACTCCCAACATTTCACAATAAAGCCTTGCGATCCGGAGAGCGGCCTTTTGCATCCCACCAATGGTCCAAATGTGGAATCCGTACCCTTATCGATATCATGAACAGTAATGGTTTGAGAACATTCCAAGATTTGAAAGACACATTCACATTACCAGGCAATTCCCTTTTTCTATATTTACAACTTAGGTCAGCTATGCTGGCCTATGGAGTCCCTTGGGAAACCCAACTACCGAACCATCCAATGATGGGATTTATAAATAAATTATCTGGGCTGAGTATACAAAACATTAAGAACACTGCTCTTTTCATGACAGACTGACCAGGTGAAAGCAATGATCCCTTATTGATGTAATTTGTTAAATCCACTTAAAATCTGTTTAGATGAAGGGGAGGAGACCGGTTAAAGAAGGATTTTTAAGCCTTGAGACATGGTTTGTGTATGTGTGCCATTCAGGGGGTGAATGGGGTATTGTAGTAGGTGCCAGGCACATCGGTTTGTCAAAAACTGCAACCGTGCTGGGTTTTTCCACACTCAACAGTTTCCCGTGTGTACACAACATTAAGAACACCTTCCTAATATTGAGTTGCACCGCCTTTTGTCCACAGAACAGCCTCAATTCGTTGGGGCATGGACTCTAGGTGTCAAAAGCGTTCCACAGGGATGCTGGCCCATGTTGACTCCAATGCTTCCCACAGTTGTGTCAAATTGGCTGGATGTCCTTTGGGTGGTGGACCATTCTTGATACACACAGGAAACTGTTGAGCATGAAAAACCTAGCAGCGTTGCAGTTTGTGACACACTCCAACCGTTGCGCCTGGCACCTACTACCATACCCCGTTCAAAGGCACTTCAATCTTTTGCCTATCCCATTCACCCTTTGAATGTCACACATACACAATCAATGTCTCAATTGTCTTAAGGCTTAAAAAAACTAATTTTAACCATTCTCCTCCCCTTCATCTACACTGATTGAAGTGGATTTAACAAGTGACATCAATAAGGGATCATAGCTTTCACCTGGATTCACCTGGCCTGTCTGTGTCATGGAAAGAGCAGGTGTTCCTAATGTTTTGTACACTCAATGTATAAATTAATGGCGCAAGTAAGTCATATAATAATCTATGCTGGTTATAGTAATTAAGTTAAAGGCCCAGTGCAGTCAAAGTTCAGATTTTCCTGTGTTTTGTATGATTTTTGTACAACGGCTGATGAAACGAACAATATAAAAAAGTGTGAAAAAGTGTTATTTCCCGATAGTTGCTGGTTGAAAATACAACCCAGGACCTTCCATTCAGCAGGTTTTGTATGGGTTGTGGCTCGCCTCGTGTTTTTTCTCATCTCGTAGCATGGAGGCGAAATAAGATATTTGACCGATTAATAAAGAGACCTCTGCAAATAACAGCTAGTTTTCAGGTTACATATCCCTCCCATTATGCCTCTCTGCCTCTTTCCACAATCCTAACTGTGATTAATGCACCGCTCTGGACCCCTTCCCCGCTCCCAGACAGTCCTAGCAAAATGCTCGCTTGAGAAATAGTTGTGCTGAAAAGCTAATATATATATATATTATGTTAATGGTAAACTGCAATAAACTTAATTGTTACCCAGAAATGATTTGATATTGAGCCAAATACGGCTGCACTGGGCCAAGGGATAGTTCAGTGAAATGCATGCCAAGGCTCAAGCAAGGCTACTTACTTAACATATTTAAATATTAGTTTCCTTACCTTGAAAGCAGCCTAATTTCATGCCCAAATCATCTCCTTTTTTTTGTTTAAACCAAGTAATTGGTAAGCAATTAAGCAACACAATCCATTTAAGAGATCATTTGGTCATTACATTTAAAACATGCTAAACGAGGATGATTGACTTACATTCGTTTTTGCTCTGAAAATGCAAATTTGACCATTTGTTGGCAATGGTAGTTTAACAAAACAGTTGCAGTCACTCCTTGTCCATAGACTGCTTCTAAAGTAAGAAAACAAATATCAAAATATGTAATTTTGCTGATCTCTCTCTTTAATGTCATCATAGGTTATTGTTCTTTTTCCTTACACATTTAACAACATTTGTTTGGATGTTTCATCTTCAATATGTACATTTGTATGCTGCTCTAGTAATCTCAACAATCCACAATATAATTATTTACAAAACAAAAAGGGTATTTTGAGCCTCTGAGTGCATTCTACAGCAAAGTGATAGGGGGGAGACATTCTTCTCGCTGTGAAAGGAGATAGTCTTTCGGCAGATTACCGACAGGCTCACTTTAGTCTCTTCAAAGCATGTGGATAATACTTGAGGAAGATTCTGCTGACTATGTTGTAGGTGTCCCCCTGCGGTTTGGAGGGGTACTTCCGGTTGTTGAAAACAAAGCCCTTCTCCACCTGGAAGACGGCTTGGTTGAAAGCGTCTTGCCTGAAGGGTCGGCCTCTCTCCAGGCACTCCACCAGGGTGTTAACAAACAGGCTCCATCGCTGGGAGTAGTAGTCTTCCATCAGGCCGCCCCACTCCTTGCTGGCATAGTCCAGAATGTTGCCCTCGGGCCCCCACAGGGTGATCTGGTTCCGGGCATTCATGTCGTACAGCCGAGCCTCCGCCTCATCCAGGGCCAGGGAGTGTGCCCGATCCAACCACGTCCCCAGCAGGAAGTGGCTGTTGCTGGACAGCAGGCGCTCCAGCTCGGGGAGGAGGTCGTACACCAGCACACCACCCGCCGTAAGGAGTTCAGGAAGCTTCTGGCCCTGGAAGGCATCCCGGATCTCGCGGTAGTAGTCGGTGGTGAGAAGCTGCAGAACCTGCCGGGTGACGTCCACCAGGTCGTAGCGGAACGTCTCCCGGGCCATGAGAGGCCAGGCCGCCTGGTACAACAGCCTCCAGGCCTCGTACAGGTCGGCCCGCTGGTACCACACCTCCGTGTTCATGTGCAGCGAGGGCCGGTGCACCAGCGGACTGTGGTTGTGGTTCTTGTAGTGGGGCACGGTGCAATTGTAAATGCTAGCAAAAAGCAGTCTCCAAGCGGCTGTCAGGTTCTCGTGGGTGCTGCCGTAGCGGCGAACCGCATACAGCGACACCCACTTGGCCAGGTTGACTGGCTCTTTGCGCCACGCCAACTCGCTCATCAGCTCGTACACCACAGGGTTCTGCTCAATGCCCTCCGGCGCCAGCCCGAGCCCAACCAGGGTGGAGTTGGGGAAGGCGAGTGCATCGAACGGCCCAGAGTTGATGCTCTCCACCGTGCCAAAGAGCCCGCTGTTGCCGCCAAAGTTGTGAAGCATGCACCATATGAAGGGCTGGCCGTAGAAAGACTTGGTTAAGGAGAAAGCCGGCGTGGACTCTGCAAACAAGTCCAGCACGATCATCCGACCGATGGGAACTCCGTGCAGAAGGGCCTGAATCTGGGCAGGCTTCCAGAATGCTGTGTCATACACAAAGAGCCAGCCCTGCATCAGCCAAATGGCCCGGGGATCCACTGGAGACAAAAACAGATTTTGGGGTGAGGGAGAAGAAAGGCAGAGCTCTTTTTATGGGCAAGGGGTCTGTGTACAACCCCCACCGGTGGCACTATGGCCGGTCAGCCTGGGGTTATGAAACTAGGACAATTACATTAATTACAACCCAATGTATACTGCCATTTGAACAGCCCGCTCACTGACGTGGCCGGCATTCCCGGGAGAGAAAAACTACTAACACGTTAGCGGCAAACAAAGCTAGTGTCCGCTAATGAACAGACTGCAGTTTTTGCGTCGTTCGGCGTGCACGTCTCACCTGAGGTCATTGTGGCGAAGACGGCGCGGCTGACCGCGGACAAGTAGGTGGGGTCCGAGGAGGTCGGCGTCATCTCGTTGAAGGTGTCTGTGTTGTAGATGTGGTCTGTGCCAAACTGCTTGACCAGCTGAGACAGGAACAGGGAGCCGATCGAATGGAAGAGGGGGTCACGGGGGTCCAGGGTGTAGGCGCAGGAGTAGCTGCAGTTGAAATGGCTCCAGGGCGCCAGTTTGGTCACGTTGGCTTTCGGAAAGAGCCTAGGAAATGGAACAAACAAGGACTGAACAATCCAGGAAAACATTGTTGCCGAGCACATTGATCTTAACTGATTCAAATACCGCAAAAAGGCAATTTATTTGGTATTCCAACAACAACAAATATATAACGGAAGCCAAGGATTGAGGAAACAGTTTTGAATCAGCAGTCATACCTGGCGATGCCCTGAGGCACAATCCCAGAGAAAGCCGGCAGGACAGGCAGCATTCCAAAGGATCTCATTCGGTCTAAAATCTTGAACTGGAGTGCAGAAGAAATATATTACATATTGTACCAGTCAAAGTTTGGACACACCTACTCATTCAAGGGTTTTTCTTTATTTTTACTATTTTCTACATTGTAGAATAATAGTGAAGATATCAAAACTAACATGTATGGAATCATGTAGTAACCAGAAAAGTGTTAAACAAATCAAAATATATTTTATATTTGAGATTCTTCAAATAGCCACCCTTTACCTTGATGACAGCTTTGCACACTCTTCGCATTCTCTCAACCAGCTTCATGAGGTAGTCACCTGGAATGCATTTCAACTAACAGGTGCAACTTGTTAAAAAGTTATTTTGTGGAATTTCTTTCCTTCTTAATGCGTTTGAGCCAATCAGTTGTGTTGTAACAAGGTAGGGGTGGTATACAGAAGATAGCCCTATTTGGTAAAAGACCAAGTCTATATTATGGCAAGAACAGCTCAAATAAGCAAAGAGAAACGACAGTCCATCATTACTTTAAGACATGAAGGTCAGTCATTCCGGAAAATTTCTAGAACTTGGAATGTTTCTTCAAGTGCAGTCGCAAAAACCATCAAGCGCTATGATGAAACTGGCTCTCATGAGGACCGCCACAGGAAAGGAAGACTCAGAGTTACCTCTGCTGCAGAGGATACGTTCATTAGAGTTACCAGCCTCAGAAATTGCAGCCCAAATAAATGCTTCACAGAGTTCAAGTAACAGACACATCTCAACATCAACTGTTCAGAGGAGTGCGTGAATCAGGCCTTCATGGTCGAATTGCTACAAAGAAACCACTACTAAAGGACACCAATAATAAGAAGAGACTTGCTTGGGCCAAGAAACATAAGCAATGGACATTAGACTGGTGGAAATCTGTCCTTTGGTCTGATCAGTCCAAATTTGAGATTTTTGGTTCCAACCGCCGTGTCTTTGTGAGACGCAGAGTAAGTGAACGGATGATCTCCGCATGTGTCGTTCCCACCGTGAAGCATGGAGGAGGAGGTGTGATGGTGCTTTGCTGGTGACACTGTCATTTATTTAGAATGCAAGGCACACTTAACCAGCATGGCTACCACAGCATTCTGCAGCGATACGCCATCCCATCTTGTTTGCGCTTAGTGGGACTATCATTTGTTTCTCAACAGGACAATGACCCAAAACACACCTTCAGGCTGTGTAAGGGGTATTTGACCAAGGAGAGTGATGGAGTGCTGCATCAGATGACCTGGCCTCCACAATCACCTGACCTCAACCCAATTGAGATGGTTTGGGATGAGTTGGACCGCACCATCTCAAGAATGTTGGAAAAGCATTCCTCATGAAGCTGATGCCAAGAGTGTGCAAATCTGTCATCAAGGCAAAGGGTGGCTACTTTGAAGAATCTCAAATATAAAATATATACATTTTTTAAACACTTTTTTGGTTACTACATGATTCCATATGTGTTATTTCATAGTGTTGATGTCTTCACTATTATTCTACAATGTAGGAAATAGTACAAATAAAGAAAAACCCTTGATGAGTAGGTGTTTCCAATCTTTTGACTGGTAGTGTATATCATTATTATTCCAAATGCAGGGGGGAACCCATGTTTGTATGTAGACCAATCAAAATGCTAGTACTTGGAGGTAGAGCTGCTTCACATGCCAGGACTGTGGTAGGGGTCCGCCCCACTGGAACAGGTTCCCCATACGGTTCCAAGCTAGGAAGGCGGGGCCGGTGAAGAAGTGGTCAATTTCAGTCTGGTTCAGCCCCAGTGAGAGGTACACCTAATCCATCAAAAACAGCTAGATGTCAGAGTTGCCATTTTGAACACTGGTCTAAAATACAATACAGTTTTAGGACAAAATATGAATTTAAATAGGAAAAAGTTAGCAAAAAATTACTTTGCACTTTTACCTGGCATTACCCACACCTCTTAGTAGGAAATTAGTTGTAATACGCACTCCAGTTTGCTCCACCTCAGCACACACACACACACACACACACACACACACACCACACAGTATGGGATCTCGTTACCTCTTGCCACAAGGCCTCTTGTCCAGTAAATGCCAAAGGCAGATTGATGCCATTGAGTGCCATCCAGTCGACCTCTCTCTGCCATCGTGGCCAGTCCCACCACACTGTGGAGTAACTCTGAGTGCATACGTTCTGATAGTACCTGAATCTGGAAACAAGAGAAAGACATTAACAGGGAGCTACACTGGGGCGTCGGGGAAAACATTGGTTTAGCTGCTACACTGGACCCATAACGTTTTTCCGGCGTCAGCAGAGCGCAAGCCACTTGATCAATTCTTGTGCGTGAGCCGCGTGTCGAATTATGGAAAATAGAATGCTGCTTACGTCCAGGTTTCATTGAAATGAATAGGAGCATCTCAAGCTTGGCAAAAGTTACGTGTCCAGTGTAGGAGGCCTGTTAGTCACTACATCAGGGGTCTACAACAGGTCGATCGCGAGCTACCAGAAGCAAATGTATTTGTTCGCGCAAACTGTCAAACTAATTTCACAAATATCCGACAGTTTAAGCTCCTGGCTACTATCCAATCAAAGCCTCATTTACATTATCCCACCGTGGTTAGACAAAATTGGCTTAAAAAGCCAAACATACCACAATCTGTAAATTAAATTTCAAGACATATTGCCAATATCAAGTTCAAAGTGGAATGAATCACATCGCGCACAGTCTGAACTTGAAGATGGGGTAAAAAGTAATGGCGTAAGCTGGATAGCTAGTGGCGCTATTACGGATGGGCTAATGGCTAAATACAAATCAAAAACGCATCCTTACCAGTTTAAAATCATCATGAGTGCCGAGGCTAAATCACACCGGCTCAAAAAGCACTGGTAGACAACAGTGTCAAGCCTCTCATTAAAAAGGTAATGCTGAAGGGAAATTTCACCGCTGCTCTTTCACAGGCTATTTTATGTTAATAACATATTAAAATGGGCAATGTGCCAAAGAATTTCCTCACTACATGCAAATGCGAGCATTTCTGCATCTCACCACTAGAAACAGGCCATCTGCATTTCCTGTTTGTAAGCAAACCCCAATATCCAGAATTTTACAGCGATTTCAGAACGTAGTACCACCCCTGCCGAGGTGGATCCAGTTGAGAATGGGTGTCAACACACAGCTAACGTTACTCACTGGACCGACCACTCGTTCATAGTTATTCGCAAGCTGATGGTCTATTTATTTTTGTGTTGACAACAACTGTCAAGTTTAGTCATGGTGTGGTGCTCAGTCCCTGGATGTGCAAACTACAAGCAAGCAGAGGCTGCTGGGGTAACATTTCATTGGTTTTCTTACTAAGAGGTCGAGCAGAGGTAACGTAGCTAACTTAGCTAGCTAGCTAAAGAACTACATTTGTTTATCTAAACCAAATTCTAGCTAGCTTTCATAATACGCTGGGTAGACATTCCAAAGCAAATCTATGTAATTAGCCAGCTGCTATCTGGCGATGTGATTTGTAACTTTGCAAGCTAATGTTAGCTGCGTTAAATTAGGTTAGCTACAGACTACCGGACCGTATCTAACTAGCCTCTGCAGTAGTTAGTTGGCTAGCTAACTTGACTGGCCTATGTGTTCTATCTACAGTCCGATCCCGCCAACATCTGAGGTGGCATCAACATCAAGCTCAGCAACAGGAACTAGTGCAAGTCACCTTTGCTAAATCTTTCCTTGACTCCATGATGAGCAAATAAATACTCATTTTGTTACGTTACAACCTTATTCTAAAATTGATTAAATAAATTTAAAAAATCATCAATCTACACACAATACCCCATAATCACAAAGCGAAAAACAGGTTTAGATATTTTTCCAAATGTATTACAAAGAAAAAACAGAAATACCTTATTTACATAAGTATTCAGACCCTTTGCTATGAGACTCGAAATTGAGCTCAGGTGGATCCTGTTTCCATTGATCATCCTTGAGATGTTTCTACAACTTGGAGTCCACCTGTGGTAAATTCAATTGATTGGACATGATTTGGAATGGCACACAACTGTCTATATAAAGTCCCACAGTTGACAGTGCATGTCAGGGCAAAAACCAAGCCATGAGGTCGAAGGAATTGTCCACATAGCTCCGAGAAAGGATTGTGTCGAGGCACAGATCTAGGGAAGGGTACCAAAAAATGTCTGCAGCATTGAAGGTTCTCAAGAACACAGTGGCCTCCATCATTCTTAAATGGAAGAAGTTTGGAACCACCAAGACTCTTCCTAGAGCTGGCCCCCCGGCCAAACTGAGCAATCAGGGGAGAAGGGCCTTGGCAGGGAGGCGACCAAGAACCTGATGGTCACTCTGACAGAGCTCCAGCGTTCCTCTGTGGAGATGGGAGAACCTTCCAGAAGGACAACCATCTCTGCAGCACTCCACCAATCAGGCCTTTATGGTCAGTAGCCATGCGGAAGCCACTCCTCAGTAAAAGGCACATGAGTTTGCCAAAAGGCACCTAAAGGACTCAGACCATGAGAAACAAGATTCTCTGGTCTGATGAAACCAAGATTGAACTCTTTGGCCTGAATGCCAAGCGTCACGTCTGGAGGAAACCTGGCACCATCCCTATGGTGAAGTATGGTGGTGGTGGCAGCATCATGCTGTGGTGATGTTTTTCAGTGGCAGGGACTGGGAGACTAGTCAGGATCGAGGCAAAGATGAACGGAGCAAAGTACATTTACATTTTAGTCATTTAGCAGACGCTCTTATCCAGAGTGACTTACAGTTAGTGAGTGCATACAATGTTTTTTTTAATTTTTTTATTTGGACATTATTTTTATACTGGCCCCCCGTGGGAATCGAACCCACAACCCTGCCGTTGCAAACGCCATTCTCTACCAACTAAGCTACATCCCTGCCGGCCATTCCCTCCCCTACCCTGGACGACGCTGGGCCAATTGTGTGTGGGTTCGATTCCCACGGGGGGCCAGTTTAAAAATTATGTCCAAACAAAAATACAAAATAAGCCTGGATTTCAACCAGGATCTCTAGTGGCACAGCTAGCACTGCGATGCAGTGCCTTAGACCACTGCACCACTCGGGAGACCATAATACCAAAGTACAGAGAGATCCTTGATGAAAACCTGCTCCAGCGTGCTCAGGACCTTAGACTGGGGCAAAGGTTCACCTTCCAACAGGACAACGACACTAAGCACACAGCCAAGACAACGCAGGAGTGGGTTCAGGACAAGTCTCTGAATGTCCTTGAGTGGCCCAGCCAGAGCCCGGACTTGAACCCGCTCTAACATCTCTGCAGAGACCTGAAAGTAGCTGTGCAGCAACGCTCCCCATCCAACCTGACAGAGCTTTAGAGAATCTGCAGAGAAGAATGGGAGAAACTCCCCAAATACAGGTGTGCCAAGCTTGTAGCGTCATACCCAAGAAGACTCGAGGCTGTAATCGCTGCCAAAGGTGCTTCAACAAAGTACTGAGTTAAGGGTCTGAATACTTATGTAAATGTGATATTTCCGTTTTTTATTTTTAATACATTTGTAAAAATGTGTTTTGCTTCATCATTATGGGGTATTGTGTGTAGATTGATGAGGGGGAAAAAACGATTTAATCCATTTTAGAATAAGGCTGTAACGTAACAAAATGTGGAAAAAGTGAAGGGGTCTGAATACTTTCTGAATGCACTGTATACTAAGCTAGGCATAAACATGGTTTGTGTCTTGTGGTAATAGTTGGTGTGTTATTAGTAGGCTACAACGTCTACTGTAGTTCTCTGTATTATGGAGGCTTAGTTTATTGTTTATGCAAAGCTTAAAGTCTAAATTGGAGAAAAGCAGAGTTACTAGTAAGGAGATGTGTGGGTGACTGACTGGTGCCTGTTGGGGGTGGGTATTGTGTGTGAAGGTTAGTATGCATGATCTATTGACACGAGGGGGGTGGGTATACATAGTACCTTGCTTTAGTGCGTATTGATTGGGACAAAGTAGTAAAATGTTGGCTAATCACTGACTAGTGTATGTTCTACAGACTAATCTTGCTGCTGAACTTGACACCAGCGTTAGTAATACAGATCCTGTAGACTCATTGGATGAAAGCTTCAGCCGGGAGCAAGCTCATGCTCAACATCATCTGATCTCAGCCAAATCATAATTGACCTACACTTCACTGGTGATGTCGAGTCATAGGAAAAACTGCCCCATGCTTGCCATGCACTTTACAATCCAACCACTGTGTGCATGATGACATAGCTGCGGTTAGCTGAGGTGCGACTAATGCACTATGGATAATTAAAGGGTACAAATGTCCACAGCCCTCACGGTAAACAAGGAAAACTCGATTGTAACAATGCTCCGTTCTTCACACCCCACTGATTTTCGCTTTAAAGGGTCCGGCCACAGCACAAATGTCCACAGCCCTCACGATAAACAAGGAAAACTCGATTGTTACAATGCTCTGTTCTTCACCCCCCCCCACCTGATTTTCGCTGTGCCATAAAAGCAGCAGAAGAGAGCCAAAACACTGAACTGGTCATATGCAAACGCTGACACTCCGAGAGAGAGTACACACATATTTCACATGCAGGGTCAAACGGGAATGTGTGATGTATATTTTTCCCACGTTCACCACTATTGTCTGCCGATTTAATGAACGAGCCTAGATTGTAACGAGCCTACGTAGGCAGGGGTCGTTACACTATCCTCTCAGTCTGTAGCGGTGCATTGGTAAAATCACGGAGGAAGCCAAGCCAGGAAAAAAAAGCCATATTACAACTTGTGTTGTGATAATTGCGTTGTTTGCTCTATAACCTGTTAGTTCATATCCCTTGCCACCGTGATATATAGGCCTTAGGCCGAGACAATAAGAAGACACAGCGGCAGAATACATTTAACCACACCTTTGTTTCATCACAAAACCGGAGAGCAACATCTGTCTGGGGCGGCAGGTAGCTTAGTGGTTAAGAGCGTTGTGCCAGTAACCGAAAGGTCGCTGGTTCTAATCCCCGAGCCGACTAGGTGAAAAATCTGTCGATGTGCCCTTGAGCAAGGCACTTAACCCTAATTGCTCCTGTAAGTCGCTCTGGATAAGAGCGTCTGCTAAATGACTAAAATGTAAATGTAAATGTCCACAAACAAACAGTTACAGTGGGGAAAAAAAGTATTTAGTCAGCCACCAATTGTGCAAGTTCTCCCACTTAAAAAGATGAGAGAGGCCTGTAATTTTCATCATAGGTACACGTCAACTATGACAGACAAATTGAGAAAAAAAAATCCAGAAAATCCCATTGTAGGATTTTTAATGAATTTATTTGCAAATTATGGTGGAAAATAAGTATTTGGTCACCTACAAACAAGCAAGATTTCTGGCTCTCACAGACCTGTAACTTCTTCTTTAAGAGGCTCCTCTGTCCTCCACTCGTTACCTGTATTAATGGCACCTGTTTGAACTTGTTATCAGTATAAAAGACACCTGTCCACAACCTCAAACAGTCACACTCCAAACTTCACAATGGCCAAGACCAAAGAGCTGTCAAAGGACACCAAAAACAAAATTGTAGACCTGCACCAGGCTGGGAAGACTGAATCTGCAATAGGTAAGCAGCTTGGTTTGAAGATATCAACTGTGGGAGCAATTATTAGGAAATGGAAGACATACAAGACCACTGATAATCTCCCTCGATCTGGGGCTCCACGCAAGATCCTACCCCGTGGGGTCAAAATGATCACAAGAACGGTGAGCAAAAATCCCAGAACCACACGGGGGGACCTAGTGAATGACCTGCAGAGAGCTGGGACCAAAGTAACAAAGCCAACCATCAGTAACACACTACGCCGCCAGGGACTCAAATCCTGCAGTGCGAGACGTGTCCCCCTGCTTAAGCCAGTACATGTCCAGGCCCGTCTGAAGTGCATTTGGATGATCCAGAAGAGGATTGGGAGAATGTCATATGGTCAGATGAAACCAAAATATAACTTTTTGGTAAAAACTCAACTCGTCATGTTTGGAGGACAAAGAATGCTGAGTTGCATCCAAAGAACACCATACCTACTGTGAAGCATGGGGTTGGAAACATCATGCTTTGGGGCTGTTTTTCTGCAAAGGGACCAGGACGACTGATCCGTGTAAAGGAAAGAATTAATGGGGCCATGTATCGTGAGATTTTGAGTGAAAACCTCCTTCCATCAGCAAGGGCATTGAAGATGAAACGTGGCTGGGTCTTTCAGCATGACAATGATCCCAAACACACCGCCCGGGCAACGAAGGAGTGGCTTCGTAAGAAGCATTTCAAGGTCCTGGAGTGGCCTAGCCAGTCTCCAGATCTCAACCCCATAGAAAATCTTTGGAGGGAGTTGAAAGTCTGTGTTGCCCAGCGACAGCCCCAAAACATCACTGCTCTAGAGGAGATCTGCATGGAGGAATGGGCCAAAATACCAGCAACAGTGTGTGAAAACCTTGTGAAGACTTACAGAAAACATTTGACCTGTGTCATTGCCAACAAAGGGTATATAACAAAGTATTGAGAAACTTTTGTTATTGGCCAAATACTTATTTTCCACCATCATATGCCAATAAATTCATTAAAAATCCTACAATGTGATTTTCTGGATTTTTTTTCCTCATTTTGTCTGTCATAGTTGACGTGTACCTATGATAAAAATTACAGGCCTCTCTCATCTTTTTAAGTGGGAGAACTTGCACAATTGGTGGCGGACTAAATACTTTTTTTCCCCACTGTACATGACCTACTACAGAATGGTCAAGCAAGTTAATGTTTCAGACATTTTTCGGACTACTAAACAACTATTGATTTAGAACCACAGAGTTACCGCAAGTCGCAAAGAAAACAGGAGCTGCCTCCACCATTTCAACTTCAATCTTTCAACATCACCTTATGCCTAGTCTACTACAGTGACAACTAAGATACCAAAAACAATTTAGTCCAGTCAACGTAAGCTAAATATGATGTAGGTGTCCATGGTACTGATTTCTGTGTGTGTGCGTGCAAGTAAAGAAAAAACATGTTACACTCAGATACGCCAATGCCATCCTCCTCTCTTTCATGACTGTCATTCAGAATACAGGTTTAGATTTTGTTGTCCTAGGTTACCTGGCTAAAATGCTTGCTCGCTAGCCTAACTTCCTTTCATGGGCAACGATGCACCAGGCCAGCTAGTTAACATTAGCCTACTACATATTGAACTTCCATGCTCTCAGGCCACGGGCACAATGTGTATGAATTTATGGTTGGATCAGAATCGCCATTATAATCATTGGCCAGTATGGAGAATTAAGTAAAACCACAAGTCCAAATCCCTATCTCCATCCATGGCTAATTTAGGAAAGGGACGATTTTATCTAGCTTGCTAGCCACAGGAGGACAACACAACGAGATGCAACAATTCAATTTTTTCTGTAAATGAAGTTTTGCTTGTGATTGGAGTGAAACCAAATCCAAACAGACTTCCCTTTAGGGCTGTCCCGGACTGAAAAAAAGTTTGTCAACCTCGAGTAATCTGTTCTTTCGACCGATCGGTCAACATTTTTAAATTTGTATTTATTATTATCCCTATATAGACACACCCTATGTGTTTTAATAAAATCAACTATATGTAGGCTACTGAGCTTGTCTGATGCTTTAAGCACACTGTAATTAAATAATTAAGACACAAATGACTGGAGGGAGCCAGAGATCAAGATAGCCAAAACAAAAATAAAAACAACTGTTGGCCTTTGCAGATTCTGCTGTTATGCTCCTGCTGTTATGCTCCAAATAGGCTACACCAGGGGTCGGTTTATCTTACAATTTCTACCGATCTGCATGCCAGTTATGATTTTTATCGGCATATTTTCGTGGAATAGTTTCATTTAATTTATATTAAAGTCTTCGTATCTCAAAATTCTAAAATTAACTTATATTGCCATTGCCAACTATGTAAAAATAGCCTACATAGAGCCAACAAATAAAAACACTGCAGCTTGCAGGTAGAAAATATCCTGATAAAAATAAATATCCTATAAATCACATTGGCTACGCATGGCCTGTCTGTAAGGAACTTGAAATATTGTATCAACTATTAAGATGGGTCAGGCCTGAAGCTTGAGCTAGCAAACTTGCAAGATTGTATAAAATATTCTGGGCCCTCAGAGTTTCCTGCGACAGACACATCTGTAGGCTATTTGCACAAGGGATAAGAAGTAATCAGGTAGGCCTATTTTATGACGTTTCCACCGGTCAGAGCATGACATTTTTCCCCCCTTCATGCTGAGTTATCAAAAGAGAGCTGCAAAGATTTTTCAAATAGGCTACGTTGAGGAACTATTGTCATTCTCAATGGATGTAAAAACTGACTTGCTGTTTGAGGTGAAGAAAAACGTTCCACACTGGTGGTGAGTTAAGACAATCAGAAATACTATCAGATCCCCAAATGGGCACATTTATAGGCCTACATTTGCACGCAGGCCAGGTAGCCCATGCCTACTTCTATGTATAAATCAGGTGCGCGTCCTTACTCAACATTGACAGGAGCGCTACAAATTCAACAATGAATAAACTGACAACTCCTAAATGGAATGAAATAAACCAAAACCTGTTCCTCACAAGTGTAGCTTAGATTGTGCAAACAACGTGTCCACTTCGAAAATGAGAACGGTAAAAGACTGTTATAATAATATACTGAATGCATTAACAGAAATGACCGTAAACAAACACATGAGAAATTATGGGAATTAACGGTAAATGTACTACTGGTGAGCCATCCCCGTGGCCTATGCAATGGATTAGTCCACTGAGACAGGCGTGAATCAGACAGGTGTCTCATATGCCATGTTCCTTATGTTTCCAAAAACCATACTACAAGCGATGTGTGTTCACCTTCAGACTGAGCGTCTGGGCTCTTAACAAAAGTCCCCCCGGGAAGAAGATACATTCATCAATAGGCGGTAAAGATAGTTAGCATCTATGAATGAGGTAACTTGCTCACTGCTCCAATAAGGATCTCACTAGGAGATCGTAACAAGCCAAGGGTTCTAAAGGCTGTATGTATGCACTGCATAGCGTTCTCATATTTGTGATGGAACTAGATTTTCACACCTGAGCTGCTTTTTAAAAGCTTCTAAACCTAAATTGATAATCCCAACCATTCAATAAAAGACAGGCCCTATTTGAGATATTTGAATTAGTTAAACTCGAAAAATGTGTGTAAGATGCAAATGATATTGATAATGCACAACATGCCATTGAGTTCTGCATACATAGTTACATCCTGCATACATGTACGTAAATCCAGACTCCATTTAGTATGATTTGTAATGTTTCGTATGGTATGTAATAATTTGTGGATGTCCATCACCCACTTCATATGATATGTTACAAATGACAATTCGTATTATATGTTACAAATTTGCTAAATGTACAATATGTTACAAATTTCAGAATGTACAATATGTTTTGAGTTTGCAAATGTATGATATGAATTCTAGCTAGGTGGCTAACATTTGCTAGCTGGCTAACAGTTAGGTTAGGGTTATGTTTAGGAGTTAGGTTAAAGCGTTAAGGTTGGGGTTAGGGGAAGGGTTAGCTAACATGCTAAGTAGTTGCAAAGTAGCTCAAAAGTAGTTGAAAAGTTGCTAATTAGCTAAAATTGCCCATGATGAGTTTCGAACTTGCAACTTTTGGGTTAGTAACCATAACCTTAAGTAACCATCTGTCTTATGTAACCATACCAAACATAACATATCTTACTAATTTTGTCACGTATTTACGTTTACTATGTTACGTCTAGTCTATGAGCCCAGATTGCCCTATTTCATCCTGTGAGGACTGTACTATCTCCACATAAAGTTTCGTTCACTTACCTGTGTTGGGTGCTGATGCGCAGTACGCCTGTGAGTTGCGGCAAAGGGCGAGGAATGTTTAGTTGATTACCTGACCACGATACGTGACAATTACAGAAGTATTTTAAGTAATTGTAAATCCCAGAGGCGACAGCCACCCCAGTGCTGCCTGTGGCTATGATTTTATTGTTTTTCGCCGACCGGAGCTCACATACTTCCAAACTATCATTGGATAATGTTCTGTTGACTAACACTATGAACTCACGAGATCTATTTCCAAGTAGACGCCTCAGAAGTTCCACTACAGCTCTTCCCTGAGTCTTGTCGTTGGCTTGCGGTTTTAAATGCGCTAGAGTCTGAAACTCGCAATGTGCTGATAAATGAGAGACTACTACAAGTAAAGCAAGGCTATAAATATATTTAAATCTCATTTTGATCACAGTCAACTCAAGCAAAAGCGTTATATGCGTCCGTTAAATAAAATACGAGTTTGGTCAACTTGCAGGCAAACAGGAAGTTTTCGATTTGTGGAAATACTCTGTGCCAATCAGAGTGTGATTTTTTTGGAGTCAATCAAAGTATAAAACCAATCACAGTCGAGAGGTTGTTAAATGGTAAAGTCACTGAAAATAATTGTAACCTGATGAAGTCTGATTGAGGAAATTAGATGTATTTGGAAGACATGTGCCTGTATTTAGGTATACAAAGGCCAAGGGAAATTCATCAGCAAAACGTCACAAATTATGTTATATGCATTTTCAAGGTTGGACCTACAGTAGGCCCTATATGTAAAAAAAAAGAAGTCCGGACCTCTCAATCTGATTGGCGTTCACCCGCCCATTCCAACCAATCAGGATGCGTAGGCACTCCAGGGCCCCGCCTCCGACACTTCATGCAAGTGCGTGTTTACATGCTGTCGCAAGAAGAAGAAATTGTTGTGCTGACGGGCTGGTTTTCTTTCACTAGTTACCCCCAGCCACAAAGTTTGTTAGGAAGAAGTTTGAAGCGTTGTTGCTAGCACTGTCTGGTTGTATTTACCACATGCATGCTACCTCGTCCAATTAGTATTGTTTAGTCATTGCTACACGAGTATTTATTGAGTGCAACTAGCCACTCATTATTAAGTGATATAGCAATAGTTATATTGTTTACATCACAGGAGGTTGGTGGCACCTTAATTGGGGAGGACGGGCTTGTGGTATTGGCCAGAGCGGAATCAGTGGAATGTTATCAAATACATCAAACGCATGGTTTCTATGTGTTTGATGCCATTTAATTCACTCCGTTCCAGCCATTATTATGAGCTGTCCTCCCTTCAGCAGCCTCCACTGGTTTACATGCTACCTCTGTAAAGTATAGCCTCTCTTGTGCACCTGCACATGCGCAGTTACTAATTGCCTCATAAGCTCTGTAGCCAGGCCAGAGAGGGCCATACATCTTAATAACCCTAGGCTTAGTTCTCTCTCCCTCTCTGGCAATATGTCTACATTGCTGATGTGTGAATATCCCTGTGTTAGCCTGTATAATTATTGCATTTGTTGATTTGCTTTTATCAGGGCATATGTTTACACATCCTGATATCTATTTATAGTTTGCATGTCTATTTTTGATTTGCATGTATGTATCTCTTAGTATCTTGTAAATGGATCCTCATGATTGCATTGTCTCTCCCTTTTTAGAACCACACATATGTAAAAATCTTCAAATGGAAACAGCTTTTACATTTACATTACATTTACGTCATTTAGCAGACACTCTTATCCAGAGCGACTTACAAATTGGTGCATTCACCCTATAACCAGTGGGATAACCACTTTACAATTTATTTATTTTATTTTATTTATTATTATTTTTTTGGGGGGGGGGGGGGTAGAAGGATTACTTTATCCTATCCCAGGTATTCCTTAAAGAGGTGGGGTTTCAAATGTCTCCGGAAGGTGGTGAGTGACTCCGCTGTCCTGGCGTCGTGAGGGAGCTTGTTCCACCATTGGGGTGCCAGAGCAGCGAACAGTTTTGACTGGGCTGAGCGGGAACTATGCTTCCGCAGAGGAAGGGGAGCCAGCAGGCCAGAGGTGGATGAACGCAATGCCCTCGTTTGGGTGTAGGGACTGATCAGAGCCTGAAGGTACAGAGGTGCCGATCCCCTCACAGCTCCATAGGCAAGCACCATGGTCTTGTAACAGATGCGAGCTTCAACTGGAAGCCAGTGGAGTGTGCGGAGGAGCGGGGTGACGTGAGAGAACTTGGGAAGGTTGAACACCAGACGGGCTGCGGCATTCTGGATGAGTTGTAGGGGTTTAATGGCACAGGCAAGGAGCCCAGCCAACAGCGAGTTGCAGTAATCCAGACGGGAGATGACAAGTGCCTGGATTAGGACCTGTGCCGCTTCCTGTGTAAGGCAGGGTCGTACTCTCCGAATGTTGTAGAGCATGAACCTGCAGGATCGGGTCACCGCCTTGATGTTAGCGGAGAACGACAGGGTGTTGTCCAGGGTCACGCCAAGGCTCTTCGCACTCTGGGAGGAGGACACAACGGAGTTGTCAACCGTGATGGCGAGATCATGGAACGGGCAGTCCTTCCCCGGGAGGAAGAGCAGCTCCGTCTTGCCAGGGTTCAGCTTGAGGTGGTGATCCGTCATCCATACTGATATGTCTGCCAGACATGCAGAGATGGGATTCGCCACCTGGTTATCAGAAGGGGGAAAGGAGAAGATTAGTTGTGTATCGTCAGCGTAGCAATGATAGGAGAGGCCATGTGAGGATATGACAGAGCCAAGTGACTTGGTGTATAGGGAGAATAGGAGAGGGCCTAGAACTGAGCCCTGGGGACACCAGTGGTGAGAGCACGTGGTGCGGAGACAGCTTCTCGCCACGCCACTTGGTAGGAGCGACCGGTCAGGTAGGACGCAATCCAGGAGTGAGCTGCGCCGGAGATGCCCAGCTCGGAGAGGGTGGAGAGAAGGATCTGATGGTTCACAGTATCAAAGGCAGCAGACAGGTCTAGAAGGACAAGAGCAGAGGAGAGAGAGTTAGCTTTAGCAGTGCGGAGAGCCTCCGTGACACAGAGAAGAGCAGTCTCAGTTGAATGACCAGTCCTGAAACCTGACTGGTTTGGATCAAGAAGGACATTCTGAGAGAGATAGCAAGAGAGTTGGCTAAAGACGGCACGCTCAATAGTTTTGGAAAGAAAAGAAAGAAGGGATACTGGTCTGTAGTTGTTGACATCAGTGGGATCGAGTGTTGGTTTTTTGAGAAGGGGTGCAACTCTCGCTCTCTTGAAGACGGAAGGGACATAGCCAGCGGTCAAGGATGAGTTGATCAGCGAGGTGAGGTAGGGGAGAAGGTCACCGGAGATGGTCTGGAGAAGAGAGGAGGGGATGGGGTCAAGCGGGCAGGTTGTTGGGCGGCCTGCAGTCACAAGTCGCAAGATTTTATCTGGAGAGAGAGGGGAGAAAGAAGTCAAAGCATAGGGTAGGGCAGTGTGAGTAGGACCAGCAGTGTCATTAGACTTAACAAACGAGGATCGGATGTTGTCAACCTTCTTTTCAAAGTGGTTGACGAAGTCATCCACAGAGAGAGAGGATGGGGGGGGGGGGGGATTCAGCAGGGAGGGGAATGTGGCAAAGAGCTTCCTAGGGTTAGAGGCAGATGCTTGGAATTTAGAGTGGTAGAAAGTGGCCTTAGCAGCAGAAACAGATGAAGAAAATGTAGAGAGGAGGGAGTGAAAAGATGCCAGGTCGGCAGGGAGTTTAGTTTTCTTCCATTTCCGCTCCGCTGCCCGGAGCTCTGTTCTGTGAGCTCGCAATGAGTCATCAAGCCACGGAGCTGGAGGGGAGGACCGAGCCGGCTGGGAGGATAGGGGACACAGAGAGTCAAAGGATGCAGAAAGGGAGGAGAGGAGGGTTGAGGAGGCAGAATCAGGAGATTGGAGGGAGAAGGATTGAGCAGAGGGAAGAGATGATAGGATGGAGGAGGAGAGAGTAGTGGGAGAGAGAGAGCGAAGGTTGCGGCGGCGCATTACCATCTTTGTAGGGGCAGAGTGAGTAGTGTTGGAGGAGAGCGAGAGAGAACAGGAAACAAAGTAGTGGTCGGAGACATGGAGGGGAGTTGCAGTGAGATTAGTAGAAGAGCAGCATCTAGTAAAGATGAGGTCAAGCGTATTGCCTGCCTTGTGAGTAGGGGGGGACGGTGAGAGGGTGAGGTCAAAAGAGGAGAGGAGTGGAAAGAAGGCGGCAGAGAGAAATGAGTCAAATGTAGACGTAGGGAGGTTGAAATCCCCCAAAACTGTGAGGGGTGAGCCATCCTCAGGAAAGGAACTTATCAAGGCGTCAAGCTCATTGATGAACTCTCCAAGGGAACCTGGAGGGCGATAGATGACAAGGATATTAAGCTTAAATGGGCTAGTGACTGTGACAGCATGGAATTCAAATGAGGAGATAGACAGATGGGTTAGGGGAAAAATTGAGAATGTCCACTTGGGAGAGATGAGGATTCCAGTGCCACCACCCCTCTGACCAGATGCTCTCGGGGTATGCGAGAACACATGGTCAGACGAGGAGAGAGCAGTAGGAGTAGCAGTGTTTTCAGTGGTAATCCATGTTTCCGTCAGCGCCATGAAGTCGAGGGACTGGAGGTTAGCATAGGCTGGGATGAAGTCAGCTTTGTTGGCAGCAGAACGGCAGTTCCAGAGGCTGCCTGAGACCTGGAACTCCAGGTGTGGGGTGCGTGCAGGGACCACCAGGTTAGAGAGGCAGCAGCCACGCGGTGTGAGGCATTTGTGTAGCCTGTGCGGAGAGGAGAGAACAGGGATAGGCAGAGGCATAGTTGACAGGCTGTAGCAAATGGCTACAATAATGCAGAGGAGATCGGAATGAAATGAACTAAACATCTGGGAAAGGAGAGAGTAGGGCCTCCCTCACCAAACTTCCACCTCAGAAACTATAATTGTTTCACTGAACCACCCGAATAAAAACTCTCCCAACTTCCACTTTAGAAATTAGAATTGTTGTGAACTACAGCGGTTCAATGTTTCAAGGAATAGACTCAACTTACTTTATTCAGCTAGCTAACTATGACACCATGGCTAACTAGCATGCTAGCATCCAATAACACACAGTTTAGCACCAATACTTGGTTACAACAAACTACCAATAGTGTGTTAACACACTAAACAGATAATTCGTGTCCGTGTCTAGTTCCTTTCATAACGCAGCAATAATTAAACGTTGGCTAGCTAGCACAAATATATTGTATTTATCTGCTACAGTACAGTTAGCTGGTCGTGTTGGCTAGCTAGCAATGGCTACTGTGTTGACTTTGTTTGAAAAACGGCTAGCTAGCTAGCTTCGTGCTACACCCGGCACCGCCGAATACAATGCTAACCTACAATAGCTACCCACAACAGCCCACGATGCCTAACTATGACGCCATAGCTAACTAGCATGCTAGCATCCAATAACACACAGTTTAGCACCAATACTTGGTTACAACAAACTACCAATAGTGTGTTAACAC